GGATGCAGCGTAAAGACACTCTCCACTCTGCACATGGACTCAGTGTAAAGACACTCTCCACTCCACAGGATGCAGCGTAAAGACACTCTCCACTCCACGGGATGCAGCGTAAAGACACTCTCCACTCTGCAGACGCAGCGTAAAGACACTCTCCACTCCGCACACGAACTCAGCGTAAAGACACTCTCCACTCCACAGGATGCAGTGTAAAGACACTCTCCACTCCACAGGACGCAGCGTAAAGACACTCTCCACTCTGCAGACGCAGCGTAAAGACACTCTCCACTCCGCACACGAACTCAGCGTAAAGACACTCTCCACTCCGCACACGAACTCAGCGTAAAGACACCCTCCACTCCACAGGATGCAGCGTAAAGACACTCTCCACTCTACACACACGGACTCAGCGTAAAGACACTCTCCACTCCGCAGACGCAGCGTAAAGACACTCTCCACTCCGCAGACGCAGTGTAAAGACACTCTCCACTTCGCACATGGACTCAGCATCAAGACACTCTCCACTCCACACATGGACTCAGCATCAAGACACTCTCCACTCCGCCCACGGACGTGGTGTAAAGACACTCTCCACTCCACACACATGGACGCAGCATCAAGACACTCTCCACTCCACACACATGGACGCAGCATAAAGACACTCTCCACTCCGCACATACGGCCTTCCCTCTCCAAACCAACAACTCTGAATGCACACAATCAAACTTTTCCACAAAGCCTTTCAAATTAAGAAGGGTTATATGGATGGATGTCCTAGGCTGATGTTTTTATTTTGCTTAAAATGATTATTCAGGAGGAAATAAAGCAAGCCAATATATTCAAATTAATTCCATGCAATTAATATAGACTTATAAAGATGCACGAACATTTAAATATATCTTTCCTGAGACATTCCCTCAAAATTTACCTTTGGAAGACATTCTGAAGAGCCCTTTAGAGACACGCTCTGCACACAGTCTCCACATTCATTGGAGGGCAAGGTCTTGCTAGATTGACCCACCGATTCCTCATGCCAGCAGCATCAGTTATCAAAGTCCATTGAAAACATTCTGCTTATGTGACTTCTTTAATTATCCATGGATGGCAGCCAATTTCAATTTCCATTTTCAGATTGTAAAAAAATGCATCTCCAAATATATATTTTAAGAATGCTTTCTATACAGGAAATGCAAACTATGTATAATACATCCATTTTTCTGGCTACTGCAGCATTCAAGACTTTTAGAAATTTTCTACACATTTAGAGGTCAAATTCCAGAAAATATGAAGTAGATTATTTTTTTAAATGGACTTTATTGATGCAATCCATGTAAACTGATGGCAGAACGTAGCGTAGAAGTTATTTAGAGCTTCAATGCATTCACTTTTATTATTTTTCCTAAAGAAAAGCATTTATAGGTCCTGGCGTAGAACTGAAATGTGAGGTCTGTAAGGACACACTTATCAGCGGGTCTTGGTTTTTGTTTAAAATCTATTTTGAACTTTTGCTATTTGAAATGTATCTATTCTATTTTATATCAAATAAGAACAAAATAAAATATAAACATTCAGTAAATTTTTGCAGACTAGTAGAGACAGACTATATGTATAATTTTCTTTTTTTGAAAGCCTCAAGCTATCGCCCAGGGTAGAGTACTGTGACGCCACAGCTCACAACAAACTCTAACTCTTGGGCTTAAGTGATTCTCTTGGCTCAGCCTCCAGAGTAGCTGGGACGACAGGCACTCAACCACAACGCTTGCTATTTTTTGGTTGTAGTTGTCGTTGTTTTTGGCAGGCCCAGGCTGGATTTGAACCCACCAGCTCTGGTGTATGTGGCTGGTGCCTTAGCCACTTGAGCTACAGTGTCAAGCCATGAGGCAGACAATATTTCCTAACCACATTCCAATGGATCATTTATGAAGAATAAGTGGACAAAGTTTCACATATTTTCTTTGTAGCACTGATGACGTTTTCACTTTTAGTACTGCTGAACATCTAGAAATTTGGCAGTCACTAAAATGGAATTCTGATAAAGCCAACTGGCTGTCAAGACATGTATTTCCAACTCATCTATTTATTATATTTTAAAAATACGCTGAACAATTATTTTCACTGCAGATATGTTGAAAGTTTGATTTATAGCATATCAAAATATTAAAATACTCTAAGAGTAGGCAAAATATCTATAAGATATTCTGACATACCTTGATATGTTTCTTTGTAATGACATGGATTTTGTGTCTTTGAAACAATTACTGACACGATACAAGTTGGCTTTCCGGTTGTTTCTGCCTCATCTCTGCACTCAAGTTAGGGGTTGTCACCCTGATAGTGGAGGCCCAAGTCCAGCCCACACTGGCTGCTGTCAACACAGGTGAGCAGGACACAGCATCCCCTGGTCCTTGATGTCTGTGGTTTCCTCAGCAAGTGCTACAGTGAGTCTTGCCTCAAAGCTTGCCTTGCAAAGTTTAATATATTTGCTATTAAATAAATGACCCTTTAAAGAAAGCTTGCTCATTTTACTTTGACTGCCAGTGTCTGGAGATGAAGATGATTCTTGGATCTTTTTTTTCTTTCAGTTTAATCTTCATGAGTGACACTCCTAAGTCATCAATGTTCTACTATAATTGGTATTCATTGATAGCATGATTGCTTCATTTTACTGATACTGACTGCTATAGAAATTTTCACAAATGTGCTCATTTTAGACAGCTCAGTTTCAACGCAATAAAAAGAATTAATTTCTGGTTATGGACGAGTGTATCTAATTGTTTTTTAGTGAGGGGGAAAAGCTGATGTCATTTCCTAATAAAGTACAAGTGTTTGTACATTTGAAGACTGAACGGTTAATAAAATCTTAAGGAACTGTGAGTGGAAAAGCAGCAACTCCGCCGTGATTATTACCTAACAGCATGCTTGTAATAACTGGTTGGTATTCTAATGCTCAAGAAACATATTAGTGATTCCAATTACATAAGAACATTTTATAAAGTTCTCATCATTAAAAAAATAATAATAAGCTTTGTCTTACAAATCAGTACCTACGACATACACTAACATGAAATTCACAAATTTATTCCTGAACAATCTAAATCATCTTGGCTATCATTGGAATTTAACTTTATAGTTATAATCAAATTTGTTTTAAATTTCTGAAACTGTATGATCAAACCCTGTTTTTTTTTCTGAATCGTTTCAGATTTTGTAATGATGCTTTCTTTGACTTATTTTTAAAGATGGAATAAATAAGTTACCAGGAGTAACTTAGTTAACCTTTTTGTGTCTAGGCTAGCAGCTATAAAATAGCGATAATAATGTATCTTGTCTCATAGTTTGGTGAAAATAAAGTGAGAGAATGTATATCTTTCACTTTGATCTGTGTCTGACACGTCATATATTTTGGGGGTAAAGTGACAGTTATTCCTCTTAGTAATAACATTACCAAGCGATAGACGAGATTCTCATTATCTCCAAGGAATGGATATTGTTCATGTCCCATGTATTACCATACTAGATATTTTCATTTGTAATATAACTAAATAACTTGCTACATTTTTATTAATTTAGAAGAGACATAATGACCAATGAAATTAAAAGTAAATTCCACAAAATACATTTTTTAGTGATCAGAGCATGCTGTGTATCACTGTTAGTAAGAAAATTAAAACTCAAGATCCTTTTCTATATATAGGAAGTGAAATAAGGCCCCCCAAATGACTTATTTTAAATAAAACTCTGTAGATTCTGTCACACTGCACTTTAGCACCAGATAGTATTAAAAACCACGTTTTTGCCTTAATCAATAAATAATCAGATGAGCATATGTTGAAAATGCTTACAAGTCTCAAAGATAAATTATAAATAGAAACTAAAATGTGCTAGAAATAGCAGCCAGTCTTGTCTGTGAGCTGGGGCTCAATGAGGCCACAGCTGCTTTCCATCAGTTTTTAACACCTGGAACTCTGACTAACTGCACGCAACTATAACAAGATCATTATTATAGGAATTTAAAATAGTTTAGCTGCTTTAGGCTTCTAATAAGTTAAAAAAAAACCTGTTGGCCTTTGTTTTAACATGATGTTCAATTTGTCTTTCAGCAGATGAAAGTAAGACAACAGAATCTTTCCAGACCCAAAGAAGATTCAGATGAATGTCCGTGAATCGGGTCTTCCGCGGAGTTGATCGATGTGTGTATGAAGCATGTCCATGGAAGTAAGTTAACCTCCCTCTGCAGCGGCAAGGTGAGACTGTACCTCTAGGGAAGGAATTCTCCAAGACACTAGGTCACAGACACAAGACTGCCACAGTGGGTAAACTGATGACTTAAATCCTCCACCAGACACCCACAGGTGTATAAGAAAGAGTCCCAAGATGCCAGTAGAGAGATGTGAGGAAAGTCAGAAGAGCAATGTCACAAGAGGAGGGCTTTAATTGCACAGAACACATTTTCCCTGTACTTGTTTTTAATAACAAATGATGGTGCCTGGTACTGGAGAAGGAACAGACTGAGGCAGGTGCCCTTACACAAGGCAAGTGTCCCTGAAAGGGGCACGGACCCTTCAGAAAACAATACTTTAAAACCTACCAAAGACCAATCAAGATTGATCTCATATTTTGACACTGCTGTGTTGGGATATAGTTAGAGTTATGGAGATTGTCATCAAATTAGGGGCAGCCCTGAATGTCTCGCTTACTAAAGGCATAGTTTGGGGTAAACCTGTCATTGATGTAATAATAATAAAAACTATACCACATAGGATTGCTTTGAAGAATAAATTTGA